CCCTAAACCCTAAACCCTAAACCCTAAACCCTAAACCCTAAACCCTAAACCCTAAACCCTAAACCCTAAACCCTAAACCCTAAACCCTAAACCCTAAACCCTAAACCCTAAACCCTAAACCAACAGTAGTCCAAGACCCTAAATGAACAGTCATCCTACACCCTAAATAAACAGTAACCTAAACCTTATACGACCAGTAACCTAAACCTTATACGACCAGTAACCCTAAACCCAAAAGCTCTAAATGAACAGTAACTCTATACCATAAATGAACAGTAACTCTATACCCTAAATGAACAGTAATCATGTACCCTATATGAACAGTAATCCTTTACCCTAAATTAACAGTAACCTAAACCTTAAAGGAACAGTAACCCTATACCCAAAGCTCTAAATGAACAGTAACTCTATACCCTAAATGAACAGTAAATATATACCCTAAATGAACAGTGAATCTATACCCTAAATGAACAGTAATCCTAGACCCTATTATTGGCGATTGTTGCACTATTAATGGTATGCTGTTTTTCTTGAGGTCAAAGGATTATGGCTAAAACCAAATCCCATAAACAGATCATGCTGTTCTAATAGTTTAAAGAGTCTCCTATATCGACCGACAATGTCACCACTCTAACGAAACAGTGTTCTCTTAGAACGTTACGACAAAAAGAAAAAGGAGTTGTTTCACTGTTTCGTTTTAATTCCCTTGTTGATATATGTTGCAATAATAACATCGGTCGTGCCTATTGGAACGAATCTTCTTTTACCGTGTCATCTACAATTTGGTTTTCATGTAATGCTCATCTCGTCAGATTCGAGACGTATAACATTGCTCTCACAACAAATTCTAATTCTAAGGATTGATGTTGCATTCTCTGAGATAAACGTGCTCATAGTCTACATGCTTTGACCAGAAGCCTCGGTATCTTGGAATCCCGATCTCTAGCCACGGCTTGAGGTTACCATTATAGTGTATCACGGCTGCCCTCTCAATATCCCTCTGGTTCACACTCGGGTTGTATCCAAGTCCTAGTATGTGCCATTTCCGTTCTAGCGGATATGTTTGTCTCCAAAATGTGATGAGACCAGGCGGCAACGTCCCTAGCTTCCACAATTCTCGGTCTTGATTCTGCAGTTCAAAATCGTTCGCGTATATGATTAACAGCCATTTCTTGAAATCAAAACGGATGCGACCTAGGCCACACAGACAGGCAACTCAAACATAAGTAAAATATATTTTCTGCATACCAGATCCTGCCATCGATGATAAACCTCTGTGATGTTTTGCCTCTTCCATTCATCCAGATCAAAGACATTCATACCATATGCCCAACCACAAGCACGAGGGTCAAAGTTCTTGGAGATGAGTGGATTTGAGAAGTTCAGATAACGGTCAAAGCGATGAAAGCTCTCCCCACAAGTCTCTACAGCACCGTTGACATTACCTTTCAGATCAACCGACCAAAGACCAGAAAGGTCCTTCTGCACAACTATATCATCATCCAAGAAGAGCACTTTGCTGAGCTTCGGAAAGATCTCAGGCAAGTAAAACCGAAGATGATTAAGGATCGATAAGTATTTTGGATTCCGGAACTTCAAGTTTGTGTCTGAATTTGTATGGTGGGCCCTGAAGTAATAATCTATCATTGATCTAGAACTAAGCTGTTTGAGAACGGGACTGTAGCTTGAATTCAGCCATGTAAATTCTTCAACGTTCTGAACCTGGATGGTGGCTTTGCCAGGTGGGTTGTCCAGGAACCACATCCTCATTGCGGCATAATTGAGTCTGTCTGTGACGATGTGGAAGACATGCTTGCTGGGATGCTGCCAAGAAACCATTAACACCGTAAGTTTAAACAGAAAGACACACTTAAATGTTCAAGTTAATTCTTACCTTTGCATTGGTTATGGTAGAGTTAACAACAACTGACGTAGCCAAAACATTATCAGAGAAAAGGGCATAGTGATACAGCTGATTATCTTCTAGTTTCTCCTGATTTGGGAATTGTTGTTGAGATGAATTTAAAGCATAATAATCTGTAGTGAGGCGCAGAGGGAGGCAGTGAAGTCCTTTTGGAATGGTCTTAGCAGTCAATTGAGTCAAGAACATGGTTTGCTTCTTATGGACCCGTAGCTGCTCCTCTGCGGAGTGGAGCATTGCACGTAGCTTCTTGACCACTGTGGAACAGTCATCTTGGATCTGCTTGCCTTTGGCTAAAGTTTGCTCCATTGCTTTTAGCTTTTCAATAGCACTAGGATTAAAAAATGGCAGAGAAATCAGTTCAGAGGAAGAAACATGTTTTCAACAGATTACAAACAAGGGGAACTTACGTCTTTGGCAGATCCGAATCCTTGGAAGCATCTGCAAGTGCCCGTTGAACTTCTTTAATACGAAGTCGAAGCTCCCTCACAAAATGTGGATTGGCCTTTGCAGATGGAAGTGAAAGATAAACCTTAGCCCTAATAAGCTGATCTTTAAGGTGTCTGACCTGAGCATCAGGCATCAAGATGTTTCCTTTCTCTTTGTTAGCTCCGAAAGCACTAGGCTCATGGTCATCAACTTTTTCAGAGGTTTGCTGGGACAATTGAACATGGATCCTTTCCTGAAAGATGATGAGATTAACGCACAAATATATGAGGGTAGGGGAGATAAAATGTTGGGCACAACAAGACTCTAAGGAGGATAGTTACATACATAGGCAACCACAAGGATAGGAAAATCCAAATTGATACTAATTATCAAATAAAGTATAAAAGCCAAATCTGGATCCCTATCAACTAGGAAAATCCAATTCTAATTCCCGTGGTAAAATAATGGCATAGGAAACACCAACGTACCCTATTAATCCCAGAGTCTGAGGCTGAATCAGTGACTTGTTTGATGGAATTGTCAGGTTGAGAGTCATCGTCGGTGGCAGAAAGAACTCGAGCAGACAATTGGTCTGAGAGAATGTAATGAGTGAAATCGGAGAAAATAAAAGAAGCGGCTAGGGGAATTCAGATGTATACACACACGTACCTTGCCGCCGTGAATTCTTATCGACGGTATAGACCACGACTTCTTCTTCTCCACCTTTGACCACTGCCGGAGATTCCTATAGACAGATGCATTTTAAAACAAGAAACGAGCTAAAGAAAGAAAGATCTGAGTGAAGTAAGCTTGGACAAGTACCCGAGGAAGCAGATTCAAACGATTCTCATCGGAATTGAAAGTCTGAAAAGGAAACAAATGTGAACAAGTCGAAAACACAAAGGTCAAGAGAGAGAGAGAGAGAGAGAGGAGAGTCATATACTAATACCGACCAAGGCGGTTACATCCTCGAGGAAATCGCGTTTAGCTGCTACAGAATGAAACAAAGAAGACGATGATAAGAAATGCAATATCCAAATCGGAGATATGAGATAGAGAGTTACAGAGAGAGAACCGACAAAAGGGAGTCTTGAAAGAGGCGGCGGGATCGGTGTAGAGAAAGATAGGTGCGGCGACGGTGAGGACCATGAAGAAAAGAACAAGATTGCGAAGCTTCACCATCATCGTTCACCAGTTGAGAGCATCAGATCAAGATTGAGCCAATCTTTCTTTTTTTTGCCTTTTCTTTTTGTTTTCAAGTGTGAGTGATTGAGAGAGCGATGAAGCAGAGGAAGAACAAGTGAGAACAAACAAAATAAAAAAACAAATTACCAGCTGGTGGTGGGTAATAAGACGCTTTTACCCTTCGTTATTAACTATCAGAATTTGTGTGGTCTAGATTCCCTCTCACACAGCTCATTAACTTCTTTTTTTTTGTTTTTTTTTTTTTGAAAACTCACAGCTCATTAACTAACATAAAAATGAATCCTCCTTACTAATTAGGCCTTTTGAGGCCCATTTTGGTTTCAACATTCGTTTAAATTACTTGGGCCTTACAATAATAATGGGCCTCCCTCGATTCCTAATGCCAGAAATCAGCAAATCGTATTGTATTTTATTCCGGGATTCTGGGAAGAAGAAGAAGAAGAAGAAGAAGAAGACACTCCGATGGCGCCTCAGCTTCTCTCCACCTGTACCTTCAAATCTCTCTTTGACTCTGTCGACACTTTCCTCTTCGACTGCGATGGTATACCATTATACTATCCCCTCCTCCATTTTATTCCTTAATTGCTTCGCTGATGGATGATGATGATGATGATGATGATGATGATGATTCGATTCAGGTGTTATATGGAAGGGTGACACGCTCATCGATGGCGTCTCCCAAACTCTCGACCTAATCCGCTCTAAGGCACTTGACCCTTTTGCCACTCTTTTCCCTCCCGCCTTTCTCTGATGATTTTGTGGTATTTTCAGGGTAAAAATGTGGTTTTTGTGACAAACAATTCGGTAAAATCGAGGAGGCAATACGCTGAAAAGTTCCGATCTTTGGGTCTCGCTTCTGTTACTCAGGTATAATTGGTTTTGCCTTCTTCCATTACCTACCCTGTGCCAGAGCTTATCTTTTCGAAACTGTGATTACTTTGCAAGGATGAGATCTTCTCTTCGTCATTTGCTGCAGCTATGTACCTCAAACTCAACAATTTCCCTAAGGACAAGAAGGTTCGTCTTCGACTAACACAGTTTGCTTATGTCTTTATCTATCGTCCATCTTTTCTCACTATTTCGTGTTTGCTGTTCTAGGTTTATGTGATTGGTGGAGAGGGTGTTCTTGAGGAGCTTCAGATTGCTGGTTTTACAGGTCTTGGTGGTCCCGTAAGTAGTCTTTTATTATTTTTTCTTTTTTAAAGTACTTTTATAGGATCACTTTGAGGGCTAATAGATATCTGTAGTAGCTGTTAGATACTTACTTATTGGCCCTGGGTGTTTAAAACCTGCCAATAAATATTGAATAATTCGAATGCCTCTGTTTATCTGAAGCAGTGTTTGTCTCCATGCAGGAAGATGGTGAAAAGAAGGCACAATGGAAATCAAACTGTCTCTTTGAACATGATAAAAATGTAATGTGTCATAAGACTTTGATTCCTTCTCCACTTCTAGAATCTTGCTTTGTTTTTTTTCTTGTTCTCTTTTACTCCATGTTTCTAGTCATGTATGTTCTTCATGTCTTCCTGTGTCAGGTGGGAGCAGTTGTAGTCGGACTAGATCCCAACATTAACTACTATAAGCTTCAGTAAGATGGATTACTATTGCATACAAGTCTGTTGTTTTAATCCAGCTTTTGAGAGTCTTGTCTAACACAATAATGGAAACGGCAGGTACGGGACCCTCTGTGTCCGTGAGAATCCGGGATGTCTTTTCATTGCGACCAACCGTGATGCAGTAGGACATATGACAGATCTGCAAGAGTGGCCTGGTATGGTCACTAGACTCAAAAGGCTACAGTGCCCAAAGTAGCAGTTTGGCTGTCACAGCATCAAATTCTTACTCGTAATTCTAGGTGCTGGTTGTATGGTTGCTGCGATGTGTGGATCAACTGAAAGAGAACCAATAGTTGTTGGGAAACCATCTACTTTCATGATGGACTTTCTCCTACAAAAGTAAAGGCAGATCCTGTTTCAATTCATAATGTGCAGTATATAGCACTGTGTGATGAAGAGGTGTATTTCCTTGTGTTTTACAGATATGGGACAGACTCATCAAGGATGTGCATGGTGGGTGATAGGCTAGATACTGACATCTTGTTTGGGCAGAATGCTGGCTGCAAAACCCTCCTGGTCTTAACAGGTCACTCTTTGATTTTATTTTATTTTGAGGTTTACTAGCCATCACAAGTCAATGGTGATATGTGGACAATGTTTTAGTGAACTAAAAAGTGGTTGGGATTGTCAAAACAGGGGTGACAAGTGAATCGGATCTACTAGAAAAAGGCAACAAGATTGAACCAGACTATTATACAAGAACAGTCTCTGATATCACAAAGCTGATGGATTCCCCTAGTAAGTAAGGCCGTCATCATCTTGCCTTGCCCTGAAACAGTAAGATATGTCCTGTCATTTGCGTATGAAAAGATGAACTTTCTGATTATTACTTTTGTCTTCGCTGATAATCTAATGATCAATCAGAAAACATGGCTTGCTAGCTTTTAATAAAGGCTGAGTTGAATTCGTTTGTTATGTTGGACTTGAGCAAGATGAAAAGTTGAATGAATTTGGTAATGAGCAAGTACGATTTTCATGGGAAGTCCAAAAGCACAGCTTGGTTTCATGTCATAGGGTCGTTTATTTTTCATTACTATTAGCCTTGCTTGGTCCAGAAACATGTGATGCCTAATGAAAATAGGAACTAGGAACTGTAAACGGTCGTGTCGAGGAACACAGATCTCTTGAGTTGAGATTTTAAAAAGGGTTCCAAACCAAACGGCATGTGATGTGGTTGTCAGCGAATATTCCGCTCCTGCAAAGTTAAACTTAATGATAATGAACATTGAAACTTATCCTCAGTTTGGCTGTTTCTTCTGCTGTGTCATAAATCATAATGAAGTTTTCAAGGGCACAGAAACATAATGAGGGAAAAGAGTACAAAATCTTAATTGTGCTTTTAGCATGCCTTGTTCTCTTTTCTGTATTTTTTTCTCCTTCTCAAAGTCATTTCAATAATTAATAATGCTTTACTAAAACACAACAACAGGTCTAAATTGTCTGCACAGTAAAATTAAGACATAAATAATCTATCATCATTTGCATAACATTTGTCTTTCTTAAAATAACCAGGAATTATCAAATTATGTAAATTTGTGATCATTCAACTCTCTTTAGTCACACACTCCTTATTTTTGGTAGTCTCATACGAGATATTGTACACTGATGTTAAATTACAGTGCTGCATCATTTTATATTATTATAGGGAAAAAGAAAAAGAAAACAAAAAAAGGGAAAGGTACTATCTTGTAAACTTAGCTTTAAGAGTCTTTTAATTTAATTTTTCTCTTGACTGGATCCTCTCCTCCGGCTCCGGGTTCTTGTCGTGCGTATCCGGCGAAATGAGAAGTGTATAGAGAGCAACAGAGGTGAAGCTGAAGTGATCATCAAGTGCATGTAATTGCGTCCTCAAAAATTGATACTTTTTTCTTCGAATCTTCTCTGCGTCAATCCACACCCAAGGTATCTCCTTCCACCTCTCTTTCTAGGGTTTCTCCCTAAAGTTACTGCCTTTACCTTGTTTCCAGATCTCCCTTGTCTTACTCTTCTCATTTTAGATCTTCTTCCACCTGAAACCACGTATCTCCCTTTCTTTTTAATCAACTTTCAAAATCAAAAACATTAGTTTTGTGCTGTTTGATCTGTCTCTGTGCTGTGTGTGGGTCTTCGTTCTTCTTCTAACTGATTCTCATGATCCTACTAGGGTTTCAAGGAAGATGTGTCTTTCCCGTTAGCTAAAGATAGTTTATTTTGTGTCCGATGGCGTCTACTCGTAAACCCAGTGGTCATGGAGCTGAAGTCGAAGCTCAGAAGCGCTCCTCCTCGAATAGTAATACTAAGTCAGCCAAAGCCGAGATTTTTGAGTCGATGCAGTTACAAAGATCAGTAACAAATCCAGCTGCTGTAGGAGTTCTGGAGAGTAAACGGTTGCCAGAGTCGTGTAGGAAGCGATCTAGTGACCCGGCTGTTTGTAAACCCGATTTTAGCTCCCTATCAACCGTTCTTGAGCACGTAGATTCATTGACCATTGATGAAAAGAAAACATCAGGCTTTGGCAGCGTCAAGACCAGCTCTGCTTCTGCCAAAATGAGTGATGGCACGAGCAGTCTTGGCAAGACAAGTGGAAGTGCCAAGCTAAGTGGCCGCCTTGATTTCATGGAAAGTGGCAAGAGCAGTATCTGCAGAGGAAGCACAAGCAGTGATGTGAGTGACGAGAGTAGTTGCAGCAGCTTTAGCAGCACTGTCAACAAACCCCACAAGGCCAATGACATGAGATGGGAAGCAATCCAGGCAGTTCGGGCTCGGGATGGGGTTTTGGGTCTGAGCCATTTCAAGCTCCTTAAGAGGCTAGGCTGCGGGGACATCGGCAGTGTTTATCTCTCTGAGTTGAGCGGGACCAAGTGTTACTTTGCTATGAAGGTTATGGACAAGACATCCCTTGCGAGTCGCAAGAAGCTTCTACGAGCTCAGACCGAAAGAGAGATTCTCCAGTCTTTGGATCACCCGTTTCTCCCTACACTCTACACCCACTTTGAGACTGAGAAATTCTCATGCCTGGTGATGGAATTCTGTCCCGGAGGAGATTTGCATACTCTCAGGCAACGCCAGCCGGGGAAGCATTTTTCTGAGCAAGCCGTAAAGTAAGTCATCCTTCCTTGATATGTCATTCTGTCTAGATTTGCTATTCCTTTGATTTTATCTTATTACAAAGTATCGTATAGATGACAAAAGAAAATATTTTTGGATCTTTACTTGATCTTTTATTCTCAACTGATTGGGGTGTTTTCAATGTGTGGCAGGTTTTACATAGCAGAGTCATTGCTAGCTTTGGAATACCTGCACATGCTGGGGATTGTGTATCGAGATCTTAAGCCTGAAAACGTTCTAGTGCGGGAAGACGGACACATAATGCTCTCTGATTTTGACCTCTCACTCCGCTGTCTTGTCAGCCCTACTCTAGTGAAATCTGCCGCCATCGAGTCAGACCCATTACGAAAAAACGTTTACTGTGTGCAACCTGCTTGCATAGAGCCATCCTGCATCCAGCCGTCTTGCACCGTCCCCACCACTTGCTTTTCCCCACGTTTGTTCTCAAGCAAATCTAAAAAGGACCGTAAACCCAAGAATGATACCGCAAATCAAGTTAGGCCATTGCCAGAGCTGGTAGCCGAGCCAACCGATGCACGCTCCATGTCTTTTGTGGGCACACACGAGTATTTGGCCCCAGAGATCATTAAAGGTGAAGGCCACGGGAGTGCAGTGGATTGGTGGACTTTTGGGATTTTTCTGTATGAACTTCTCTTCGGGAGAACGCCTTTCAAGGGATCAGGAAACCGACAGACACTCTTCAATGTGGTAGGTCAGCCTCTGCGGTTCCCAGAAACACCTGTGGTGAGTTTTGCTGCGAGAGACCTCATCCGGGGCCTGCTCATGAAGGAGCCGCAGCAGCGGCTGGGGTTCAAACGGGGAGCCACTGAGGTTAAGCAGCACCCATTCTTTGAAGGTGTGAACTGGGCTTTGATTCGGTGTGCGACTCCACCAGAAATCCCAAGACCTGTTGAGCTGGAAAAGGAACCTGTGAGTGTTGCAGAGGCACCATCAAACCAGAAGACAGCAGCCGGTTTGGTTCTGAATGCTCAGAAAGGATCTGATAACTATTTGGAATTTGATTTCTTCTAGTGTTACATTTAGACATATGGTACTCTATTCTTCTTAAAAGACCATGTAGTAGAAGATGATCAAGTGTTGTTTCGATCTTTATAGTTTGCCATGAATTGTATGCTTGTTTCCTGTATGCAGAAGCTGCTGTAGTTTATAAAAATGTTGTAACTCTTTCTGATAGCCTTATTAGTTTTTACCCGAGATCCTTTTTACTTGCTCTAACCAAGCAAAGAACATAACATCAAGTGTATAGTCTCTGCATCTTGATCTCTCATTACATTAACTGTTAGTTTTGGGCTTACTGATAAAGCAAATACAAGCAAAAGGGTCAACGGGTTGATCTTTCTTTGGCTGCTGCGCCATTGGGGACTTAGAAGGGCTGTTCTTCATCATCACCTCCTCCATGTTTATTTCTCTTCCTTGGCATATGACTTTAACCTCACACATATCCGCTGCAGAGCTCCTCGTTATCAGTTCAGGAACACTGTTTCCTTTCATCGTCGTTGCTTTCCTACAAGAAGCCATAAAGAGAGAAGGAGGATGTCCTGTCATCTGAAGACTGAAAGAGTTGTGGGGGTCATCTTGTGTATATTATATATACCTAGCATTAGACTTGTCGATCCCAAGAACAAGCTTCTTAATGTTAAGAATGGTAATGAGGTCTTGTATAGCCTTAGCCACCGAGTCACTCTCAACCAGTATTGTCTCCACCTTTACCTGTGTTTCTCACTTACTCTCTCAAGTGTTAGCTTACGTTGACTCTTAACCATCTAAACAACACCAAGAGATAGAAAGAGAGATAGGACCTTAGAAGCAGAGCAAGCATGAAGGAATTTGAGCAACAGAGTTCTTCTTTTTTCCCTTTCCTGAGACATAAAGCTTTCTACTTGTTCTTGACTCGCTTTCTCCCTCGTCAACCTCCCCACTACAAGGATCATACATACACTTGAGTAACGACAAACATCTAATCAAAGATAAGAAGTTGACAAGGATATATATATATATATACATACAAGGGTAAGGAATGAAGCGAGTCTCAGGGAAGACATGGATGAGGAAGAGAAGAGTTGAAGAAGAGGTGATAAGATTGTCAATAGCCCAACGCAATGCCTCCATGCTTGAGTCTCCTTTCCCTACCCCAACATACACGTTGTCGTCTCCGTTCATCGACACTGTTCCACTGCTTCTCCCTTCCAACTGGCTCTCCCTCACACTCTCCAGTCCTCTCCTTCCATCTTCGTCCTCCTCCTCCTCTATCTCATTGCTTCTCCGTTGCATCTCAAGTTCTCGTTGACTCTTTTCTGCTCTTCTCTTGCCCTCTCTACCCCATCAAATATTTTTACTTCCTTTAATATATATATGCAATCTACATGTGCCTGTGGTGGATGTAGACCTTATACTTTGTGTTCTTGCGTGTGAGTTTTGTGAATGAACTTTTCATCAAGACATTAGTTGTATCTTTTACCTATCATGAAGATTTCCATATACAAGATTTATCCACCCACGTATGTGTCAATTTATAAAATAAATTCGGTTAAGTAAATCATACATTTGCATCATCCAACTTTGGGTATATATATTGTTAATCTTGGTCAAGAATTTGAAACTATAAATGGGTCAACTCTTTGTTTATTGGCAATTGTTTAAGCATAAACAAAGAAAGATGCATATGTGTGCAAGGTCGAATATCCGAATCTCAAGCAGGAATCTTAATATTTAATAATCTAAAAGTCAAAACACATAAAAATTACAACAAAGTAAACAAAAACAAAGAAAAAATCTTTGATGCTTTCTTTCTTCTGACATTCAAGAATCCTTCCATGTTTAATGTTTGTTTGACCTGGAAGATTCAAGCCCTTATAGAGATCGTTTTGACCCAAGAGATCGTTTTGGACAAAGTTTTTGACTAATTTTGTGCTTGGTCTTAGTGTTAGGCCCAAATGAGAAGTGGGCCAACCAGTCTGTTTCGTTGTCCCATGATTCATAACTCACATTCAATGGCCAACTAGCATAAAGATGAAAGATGGATGAAAGAAGAAATGCAAAGAGCCAAGGTCCAAGAAATCACAAGAAAGACTTTTTGTATGATAGGCATGTTTTGCCATACAAAAGATATTGACCTTTGAATCTATACTATTAATTGGGGATCATTTTTAGTCTTTGTTGCCAAACAAACCTGAAAAAAATATATTAGAAATTATGTGATTGCAAACCTAAAGCCAAACACACTAAAAGACAGCAAAAAAATAAAAAAATAAATAAATAAATAAAAAACAAAAACTATCTATATTCATGGAAATCATTTTAATTTTGTTACCATAAAAAATGGACAATGAAACTCGAAATTTAACATATGCAAACAGATTTAATATTAGTTATATAATTTAGAGTATTTTTTGAAAATTATAATTTATATTTGAGAAAAATTTGGATGAAAACATATGTTTGATTATAAAAATACATATCATAAAATGTGGAGAAATATACGACATAATTAATTATATCATCAAATTTTAAAAAATATAATCTTAAAAAATAGTTAAAGATATTTGAATAAAAAATCTTAATCAAATCAATAATTAAAAATTTGTTGGCTAAAATCATGCAAAAATTATATATCACATAAAATCTCTTATTTTCATATAAAATCTCTTATTTCCACATAAAATCTTCATATTGAAAAAGCAATCTCGAAAATATAGCACAAAAATAAAATAATTTAACATATATTGATTAGATATGAGATATTTCTGTTTTTCCTTTTAAAAACCAATAATCCATTTTTTTGAAATCATTCAGAAATACAGAATTAATTCAATCACCTTAATAACTAGCACTTAACATAACCAATCGACAAGTAGAAAAATATTTAATTCGATTATTATTTTTCCTAACTATAATGCAATTTCAAATCTACAAACTATCCAAAAATAAAAAATAAAAGTTTAATTACATCGTAATAGTTTGATCGTTATAAATTCAAGATTTTATATATTTTGGTACCTCATTAACTACTAAATTAAAACTAAACAGTAAGTGGATATATCAAATTTAAATAATTGTTATGTCTTATTAGCAATTTCTAAATAATAAATGGATTATATTTTTATAATTTAATTTTTACGTCTTTTAAGTAAGTTTCGAAAAGAAAAAACAATCAAGTAGTTAAGAACAAAATCGTTAACTATCTAACTGAAACCAAACTAAATGTCAAACAGGTATGAATCCAAACTATAAATGATATACTATAAATATCTAAAAACACTATCCCACATATATAGGTACAACTGATATAATTATATTCAAAATAATATAAAGACTTAAAATAATATATTCAACAAAAAGGGCTGATTTCATTATTTTGAATATATATGTCACTAATCAAAATTGTAATTGTATAAAATGAAATATATTTTTCAACCGTATTATAAATAAATATCATATCTAGCCAAAATAATAAAAATTGAATTATTTTATTGCATTAAACACATATTTTATTTTTAATCAAATCAATACATGATTTTGTTATCACTTTCAGCAAAATGATTTTAATCTTATGCAAAAAGAGTAAAAATATTATACAAGATGGGAACGGGATGGAAAGAAGTCCGAACGGAATGTAAGCATAGATTTTCATACAAAAGTCTTAGAACATGTTACAATTAAAATTAAATAACGCTTGCAGTTTTATATGTAAT